ATATGCAGAAGAAAAGAACACGTTCGAGGCTGTGCGGAGATACGAAGTGGAGAAAAAAAATCGAGATCTTGCGCTGCTAAATAATGAAATATTACCGTGGGTGTACAATGACCGTCATTTCCAAATGAGAATTGATTTTGTTGTCTTTTTGTGCCCGGCGCGTTGATTATCTTAGCGAGATAATTCCAGGTAAAAATTCTGGCCGTGGTGCGCGCGCGGATGTTGCTTTTGGATGAATTATTGCTGCGTCATTAGCCACGGCTTGGATTCTTTCTTGCCACTTCTCATTACTGCTAAATCAAGTAGCTCCGAGACGCGGGGCCTGTCTTTCTCGCGATCATCACTTGAATCACCTCTGGCTGCAGCGCGGCTCTCAGGAGCCCATTCAAAAAAGCGCCACAAATGCCCCGAGGCTCCCGTTCTGCAGCTCTGTGTGAGGCAAATGAGATTTGAGAATTCGAAAAACGGAGTGATGTCTTTTTTCCCAGGGATTCAGAATTGAGAAGAAGAAGAAGAAGAAAAATCCTTTTATTTTCTCTGATTCTCTAATACATAAATTGTACAGGTTCAAAAGGTAAAAAGATTTCTTTTAGTTTAAAAATTTCGCCCAAATTATCCAAAAGAAATCATGACAATTATATTACGTCGAGTCAATAAACTCTATTTGCAGCTAAAAAAATATGGATAAAAATCCTTCCCTATGAAAAAATGAAAAATCAGTTTAAATCATAAAATTAAACTAGGCTTGAAAGTCTTTTTTTTTAACTTTCCTGGATGGAACTTTAAAATTATTTTGTAGTTTTAGTTAAAAAACTTAACAGCCAGTACCAGGAATAAAATTGATTTGACTGGTTATTAAAGATTTTTTTTCAATGGTGAAATCCTGATCTTGATAAAAGTTTGATTTTTGAAATGCTATTAACAAATTTTGCCAAATTTATTGTACTTAGTTCCATTTAAATTTTCAAACAAATAAAAACATCTCTATTAAAAAGTATTTGCTGGAATTAAAGTCATTTTATGTGTTGTTTCTATCCTACACTATACGCTCCTCTAACAAATAGATTTAAAATTCCATCTAATAAAATAAAAAATTAAATAAATTGATTAAACATATATTATGAACATCAAATTATTATCTTCTTTCTGGCTCATAAAACGCGTTAATTATAATTAATTGAATTCATTTTTAAAATTATTATTCAACCTTCATTTATTCTTCTATCAAGTTATTTAATTTTATTTTATGCACAACGTATCAAGTTGTTATTTGATGCTGTTGTGGCAAGAAAATTACTGCTTAAAGCAACTGCGTAGATAATCGATTTTAAAACTTAATTTGTATCAACTTGTTTTAAAAGCACCGCACGATTAATTACTGCTGGAGAGTGACCTGATTCGATTTGAAGGTTTGAAAATCAGCAGCCCCGTTCCGCGATTATTATCCAAGCAATTACAAAGGCGACAGCATAACGGCGTTTTTCTTCTGCAAAATCACTCGAGCTGCCGGAGAGGAAGGCGTAAAATTAGCCGCTAATTTAAATTAATAATCGCCAACGGAGACGAGGAGCAAATGAGAGACGCTTCTCATTTTCCTCTCTTCATCTGCCGCCGCCGCCGCCGAAGTAATAATTTGAACTTTCATCAGCTACCGTGCTGCTCTCAATTTGACGAAGCCTCGCATCCGCACCTGATTAATAATTGTGTAAATTTTTTACTCGCCTCGCTGCGATAATAAGCATTAAATTATTTTTATTCTCCGCGCCGAAAAGCGGACGGCGGATTTTAATTAAAGGTGGAATTTTAAGTACAAAACGCGTACGGTGTGTTTATTTTTTTTCGCACCTGCCTTCGGCGGGTGTGCTAGGATATTGAGTATTGTTTCCCATAATCAACACCAGGAGCTATATACGCGCGTGATATTATTAATTTCGAAATTAATACACACACGCTTGAGCGGAGCACACACTTGTATAAAAAAAGTCATTAAGGAAAAGTAATTATCAGCAGGCAGCGAGCAAGGTTGAACTAATTGTGTGTTCTCCTGCCGCCTTCTCTCTTATTTTTTGTATCATTGTATGTGCTGCTTGAAGAAAAAAAAACACAGCTCCGGCGTTTTATATTATAGATGAGGCCGCGAGTTTCTCACTCAAAACGACCGATTCATCTAGTTGGGTGCGACCAGGACCTTTTATATCTCCAGAAAATAGAGCTGACCGCTTCATTCATAACTTTTCTCAAGCGGAACACAAAATCACAAACGCCCATCGAACAGAATCATTTGAAAATGATGGCATCTAAAAAAATTGTTGTATGCTTTATTTACATAAATTTAACATATTTAAATTTTAAAAGTTAAGATAAAATTATTTTGTTTTTATATGATTTTAATTATATAAATTAATAATTATTTTATTTATTTTAAAATATAATTTTATATAAAAAATATTTTAATAAATTTTTATTTTTTAAATGAAATATAAATAATTATAAATAATGTTAAATTTAAAATTAATTTAATCTATTATAAATAAATTTTGCTTTTGACATTAATTAAGGCATTATTTTGTTATCAATTAACAATATTTTGCTCCATCTGCAGTTTAACTTAATTAAAAACTAATCAGCAGTACGATACAGCACAATATGTCAGTGTCATTTTGATTGGAAATAAAAACTAAAATGAAAGAAAGTCTGGTTATTATGACAAGAAAAATTGCAATTTCATTTGATTATGTCGCTACATTTTTATTGCTTCTTTTTAAATAAATATCTTTTTAAAATGTCCCATCATAATTTATCCTCTGGTGAAATTGTGTCTTACTGTTCAAGAACAGTGCAGGGTGAACACCAAATATTCAGTCAAAATCAAGATTATCCTTTTTTTTAAATGCAAAATAATTATATGTTTAGTTTTGATTTTTTTAAATATTTTTCTTTTTTGGGTCAGGCCAAGGCAAAGTCTTTTCGGCCTGTGCCCTTTTTTAGTGGCGCAGAAGGCGTCACTCAATTTATTGTCTTTTTTATGAGATTAAGTTGCAAACAGTTAACATTATTTCATAAAATTGATTTATCATTGTAATTAAGTAATCAACGAAATCAATAAAAAATGAAATGCGTATTATGAGTATAAATAATGTGGCATTTATAAGCATGAGCAAATTTTGCTTTTAACATATCATACAGTTTCCGGGTTCTGCTGATGATGTCGGCGTTTTGGCAAACAACGCATGCTAATCAAATTCAAATTATCCCACAGGTGTTAATGCGGCGATTTCATGAATAATTTGTCAGCAATCAACAGCGAATTATAAAAGCGCATCCTCGGCCCGACGGTAGCGCAGCAGTCAATTCAAAAAATAACCAGAGAAGACAAACGTCACAACAAACTTCAAAAGAACTCGATTATCACCTCGGGCCATATGTTGCGCTGCAGCCGGCGGCGCTTTATCATTTATTATTTACTAATATTTGTTTTATTTATTATGCACGCAGGTAAATAGGCAAGTCAGAGAGTCGGGACGAGTCACTCAGACGCGAATTAAATTTACATGCCCCGGCGGAAAGAAAGGATGGCGTTAAAATAGAGAAAAATGCTTACCGCGCGCCGCGGCTCTAAAATAATAATGCGAAATTATGCCGAGTCAGCGTCATTAACGCTCTTGACTTTGTAGTCGCGCACTGTGTTTTAATATAACGCTTGTGTATGTACAAACTGCTGCCGCCGTGTTGGTTGGCTGAATTTATATACCTGTGCGCTGGGAAATCAACATCTGTTGCCGTCGCCTGCGTATTAATGTTCATTGTGTTTATGGCTGCATCGACTGGTGTTTGGAAATAAATTACTCATTTAAACGAAAGCTTCACCTGCGCACGACAAAAGCAAATTAAACGTAAATTCAATTAATGAAATTGAAAAAAATTTCAGCATAAACCATAATAGGAAATTTTTAATCCAAGAACACATTCTTAATTCAAAAGAAAAATAATTCCCAAAGAACTACTTTGAACCTTCAATAGTTGTGATCTGACGTGCTGAATTGCAATTTAACCCCTGAAGGTGCGAAGTAGTTCTTTGGTAATTAATTTTATTTTTGAATTAGAAACTTTTTAATTTAAATATTATTAAATTAATTTAAAATTGAATAAAAACTAGAATTTTCTTAACTTGTATTTTTGAACAGATAATTGAGAAATTTTTATCCTGATGAAAGGTAAGAAACAGAAATATATTTTATTTTATGAATTAGTTTATATTAAAATCATACTTACGTTGTTTTGCATTTTATTTGATTTTATTTTTAAGTTTTAGGGAAAAATACAGTTAGTGGTTCCAATGCCATAGAGTATGGTGGACACTTCACTCAAATTAAGGCCGTAATAATGCTGAGTGACATCAAGACAACAACTCGTGCCTCTTTATTTCTTCAAATGCTTTTGTGTACATAATTTGACATTATCTTGCATAAACATCAATGCCATTCAAACATTGCAATTATATTGTATGGAGTTATGGACAGAGTATTTTTTATCTGTTTTCCCTTTCAAGCGCAATTTTAATTTAATCAAATTAATGAATCAAGATATTAAACTCCGATTGTCTCTAATTTGAATTATAAAAACCAAAGGAACATTTTGAATTTAATAATATTGTTGTCCTTCGTTCAAAACGGTTCTCACCACTCTTGTTCTCAGATAAATTTATAAAGTTTCGTAGAAAAAAAATATTATATAAGTTTATATAAATTTCAAAAAGAGTTTGCTGCACAACCAGTGCGAGTCGAGCAGTTTTAATGCATACCGCTTTCGCGCCATTTTTCAAACCCTGTTTAATTTTATCGTGATTTACGCTGATTTTGTAAACATTTGAGGCTTTTTCAAAATTATTCTATGTTTGAAATTTGCTCCAAATACAAAACTGAAAATTTGAAAGGAATTCGCACATTAAATAAAAATTGACCATAATCATCGATCATCGAACATTACAAGGAAGGCGAGACCAGAAATCAAAACAAACACTTCGGAGACACTCGAAAAGTCGGCACACGAACGTTTCTCTAGCATTAGTTTTCGTTTCTTTATCTCTCTTGATTTGCAAGTACGTGCGAATCGGTGCCGGTCGCGACCTTTGACCTGGCGATTTGCACGATGCGTCGAATGGAATGCGGGCCGAAGCGTTTTCAGCCGCGGTCTCGGTCGGCTCGGCGCTGATTTTGATCGTCGTCTCTCTACTCGGTGCCAAAAACGACCTGCGAAAAATGGAGCCAGGGCCCGTAACTTCCTACCTGAGGCCCAGGGGTGCCCTGGCAAGAACCATGTACGACCGGATTGCCAACGACAAGGTTGTCGAAGAATTTGACAAGAGAAAGGTATGTTAAAATAACAAATTTAAAAAAACCCCTTATGTATACTTTCATACTAGGTCAACAATGCAATATGTACAATTGTTCTGGCCCTTCTTAATTAACAATCGTTAGCAAAAAGGTCTGATCCTTGTAAATTACTCTTATGTTTCTTAAAAAAAGTAGTCCGAGTTTAAAAAAAGCCTAAACTTTATAGTACAAAAAATAATCAAAAGTAATCTGGTTTAACTTGATGATACATATATTTAATTTTTTTTCAATTTTTTTATTTTTTATTATTAATTGTGGCTCAAAGCTGAAAATATAATGATCGCTTACATTAGCCATGTCTTGATTTAAATTTCTATTTTTTAAATAACTAGAATAATTTAAAAATGGTCAAAAATGGTAATATACAATTACTTTTTAATTAAATTGCTTTCTCATTATTCTTAATTGTTGTTATCATTTTCATTTAACATTAATTGAAAAAATTGAACCAACTATTTGATGAAAGTTTAAATTATTTAAAAGTGCCCATACATATAACAATATGTGAAAAACTATAGATTTTTATATAATTTTGGTTCCCAATATTATTAATGAGATTTATGATAAGTTAAATTACTTTTTCAGTGGTAAAGAGTTAGTTTAATATTTATTTAAATCAGAAAATTTAAATTAATACTGAGGGCATTATTAAATTATTTGTTTTAAATCAAATTTGGTGTTTAATATTTCCAATATCAAAAATTAATTCCAACAATATTTTAAACATAAATATTTTAAGCCAAATTAAAATTTACACGTTTTTCAGCTCAGAATAATTAAAATTGCGTTTAAAAAGTTTCATTTCCATTATAATTAATAATTCTTGCCTTTTTCCAAACTTATGCAGTTCTTTACATTTAATTTAAATATAATTGAGCTTAATAAATATAAATTATTTTTTAAATTTATACAAAAAAAAAATATTAAATTCAGCAATCCAATTTCGCAAACTTTAAACCCTTTTTCTTTATCTTGTAACCACTTTGAAAGAACCTTAAATGAATAAATTTCATTTAAAAAAATTAACGATTAGAAATTTTAATTCTTTCTGATTACTTTGGAACTTAAAAGTTCAAGATGAGTCGTATATAATTATTCGAAATGAGAAAATGAGCGTGGGAGGTGAAAAATTTCATTGGGCTCGGGGGCGAGCGAGAGCCAATTAAAACAATAGTCACACCCACGAGTGGCCGAGGCTCGTAAATAAAAGGGCGTAATTAATATTACAAGGCAGAGAGACTCTGGGTTTCGTGCATAAATTATAATTATCACACGTATGAGTGCGTTGGTTATTTATTTATTTATATTATTGTGGCGGGTCGCCCGAGGTGCGAATAATAATGCTTTTCTAATTTATTTGTCCGCGCGCGCGGCAAATGAGCCTTGCCAGGATTTATGGAAATTGATTGCGCGCGCCTCTCAACGAGCAAATAACACCGTGGGGATTTTTCTAATTAGCGATCGGCTAACGAGCAGCCTAATTAAAGTTAGGTGGGTCTCGCCACAAGCCACGCAGCACCTCAACAAAAAGTTATTTTCCGGCGCGCGCGTCATCGCATTTTTCCACCACGTAATTTACCGCGACTCTTTACACGCCTCTTGCCATGGCTTGATTACTTTTTTACACGATTGTTAATTTTTTTATTGTTTCACTAAGATGAGGAGCCAATTTTTTGAAATATTAATATAATTATCAATCAATTGATGATTTGTTTTTAGAGTAAACTAAATTGAAACTAATGCAAATATGTATAATTTAGATATTAATAGTAATCGATTGTTTGAAGTTCGTTTAAAACTTGTTTTATTTTCTTTTAAATTATATATAAAACCCCTTTGAAAAAGTTGTCTACACTAAAAAGTAATTTTTTAAATAACTTAAAAGCGATGAAAAGGTTAATTTTTTTTAATAAATTTCAACTTACAATTAGTATCAAAATGTTTTGAATTATAAAAAAATGGTTAGGCTCGACAATTTTTTTATCGTCTTATTAATCAAAGTAGGACTGAATTTGAAATTGAAATAATATTTTTTCAGTTTACGTAATAAAAAGGTTGAATAATTTTATTAATTATTTTTTTTAAAGAAATATAGATCGTGGAGATCTGTTAAAATAATTATAATTCGAAATAAGCTTTAAATAAACCTGCCTAAAGTGTGTTGTAAATTTTTTCTCTAATATATTTTGCAGTTTTTAGTGGAGTCATCGAATCATAATAATAATCTCAAGATGAAACTTTATCATTCAGAGAATACTTTTTTATGAATTGCGCTTATTTTTATTTTCAATTCAACAAATTACTTTTCTTCTAATTTCTTCAAAAGTTCTCAGATTGCTTCAATTGGTTACAAATTTCAATTTATAGGGGAAAAAAACGTTATCCCATTAAATACAAACCGTAAAAAAATCTGATGTCTTGCAATTGTCTCAAAATCATGATAATTGTTTTGTCATGAATAATTTTTACAATTTTTCCAACATATCTCAGCAGTTAAATTATAATTTTGTTTACAAAAAATTCCATAAGTCTTCTCTTTCTAATTAAATTTTCCAAAGCTTCAGAGAACAGATATGAAAGCGATGTTATTCAAATTGAGATTTGGCCGTCGAGTGTGGGAAGAGTGCAAATGCTTCAGTGCCACATTCTCGTTTCTATGAATTATTATTATGATCGAATTCGTGCATTTCGGAAACAGATTTGCGTCCGATCGAGCAGAAAAGTCTTGCCGCGGCACAATTTATCGTGCGCTGGCATGAGTCTATCATTACGAGGCGCCACTCAAACGATAATTAGCTCGTCCCGAGTGGTAATTATCATCTCGGCGAGAGCAAATAATGTGCTTAATAATAATGCAGCGTGCGCCCGCTCAAATTAGGACCCCTGGCCGACCGGCGACGACCTTTTTCTCCGACGCCGCCGCCTCAACTCTGCTGCAATAATTATTTCCCGATTCCGTGAAGCTCTTCCTCGCTCGATGATCAAGTTTCCGGATAATCCATTAGCGGATTAATCGGCGCGGATTTGGAAACGCCGCTTCGCCGAAATCGTTTGCGGAATTAAAACGCACACATGAAGTTTCGGATTCACCGAATGGAAGAAGGCAGGCGCCTTCTGTGAAACGTTTTTGCACCTACGCCATATTTTTCCTTCTCTAATCGGCCCTCGCGGCTCAAATTAAGACCGTTTGTGAAGAGATGTGGGCTTTTTTTATCAATTTCACTTACAATTAGTATTTCTTTTATTTACGTAAAATGAGAAATATGATTTACGTTAAAACCGTGAAATAAGAGTTAAATAGAGAAAAGGAAAGATAAAAACATCTTTAAACAAAAGAACTGCAAAATAATTTTAAAAGAATCCAGAAAGGTATAATTTAACTTACTACCGCGGACACTTGCTTTTTACTACCCTTGTGGGGAGAGGCGCTCGCGATAAGGGTGGTGTATCGTTCAAATATCGAATCTTTGGCGACGGTACAACCCCAAAGCTGCCCCAAGGAAAGAAATTGATTAGCAAATGTCACATTTGCCACGTGATTAATTTATGGATAATATTAAATTCAAATTAAATTATTCATTCCTTGCCAAGACAATAAAAGCAAATCATTAATTTTATGAAGTTGGAATCTTTAAAAAAATTCAATAAGTATTTTATTGAGACTTCGTTGACAGAATGAAGCAAATGACGATTTTGCTATTTTATTTAACAAACTTTGTCCAATTAATTTTCCAAAAATTATTTAGAGTAAATATAAATATTTCCAGCCTTAAACATTTGAATCGATTAATCCCAGACAATCTCATGTTTTTTTGACAACTTCCGCGGGTCGAGCTCCGAATCTCGGTCTGGTGAATAATTCAAACAGTTTTTCACCCTGATATTCCACATTAAAATAAATCACAGCGAAATAATAATTCCCATAAATTACCGGAAACGTAAAGCACGGCCATTAATTTTAATCAGAAAGCCGTAAAAGCCGCGGGGAAAAGCGAAGAAAAGTCAATAAAATAATCTGTCCTCATAGTCGTCGTAATTTTCGGCCGTGCATGTTGACAGACGCTGAGGGTATGTGGAGAGAGAATTAAAAATAAACAGGCCAACAATAAATGCATTATCACGTCCAATTCGTGCGGCGCTGTTTGTTTGTGCGCCGCGGATAATAATTTCTCTTATTTTTTCCTGCCCCGCTCGAATCGGAAACTAACGCCACCATAAAAAGTTCTCTCTCTTTCACACACACACATGGCAGTCGAATTCGGTGTAAGAAGAAGAAGAAGGCGCGCATACATTCTTTATTGATTTAGGGAGGTGGCTGGCTGGTTGTATTTTTTTGTCTGATATAGCGCCCCGTTCGCTTTCTCGCTCGCTCATCATCTCCTGGGATCTCGCACTTTTAAGTTTTTAAAAGCAAACTCAGCTCCAATTCCGATGTCGCGCCTCCACCGTCGTCGCTCGTTGCTGGGGGGCGACGCGCTGATTGAAAGAGACGCGCCTTTTATCACCCTACCAGCATCCCGAGCAACCCTCAATCAACCTGGCTCTACCACTGAATTTAAAATATATATAAAAAAAAATAGTCAAATAACGCAATTCAAGTTGAAGAAGTGTACTTGGGAGCAAACCTTGTCTAGAAACACAAAGAGGCATGGGATAATCTGGGGACAATTTTATTACAATTAACTTCAGGTGGTAGAAAAAGTTTCAACGCATTGAAATATTTTCAAGGTTTTGTTCTCAAATATTGATTTTCGATTATTTTATTCATCGACAGACAAATGCAATAAAATTTGTATATTTTGTTTACATAAAAATATTAATAAAAGATGAGTTTGAAATGGTTCAGATGTAGAGACGAATGTCTTAACCAGAGATTTTTAAAATAAATGAAATCTTTGAGTTTTTGTCAGCAAAAATAAATGATGCTTAAAATTTGCAAATTGTCTTAATGAAACCTGTTTGATTGTTCAATAGACTAACGCTTTTATACTTGAAATTTTCAATTACATCCATGATACCAATTTTGAGGTTGTTTACCTTTTCAATGCATAAAAATTAAATAAATTTTATGGAGAATTGAATTTGAAATACCTCTGAGAATTCACAAATGATTTACAATTATGAATTAAAAAAGCTGCAAATTATCATAGTAAATTGACAAATTTTTAATAAAATAAAAATTATTCAAAATCATTAAATTTAAAATGATTCTAAAAAATTTGGTGGATTTTTTTGGCTGGGAAAATACAAATTAAGTATCTAAAACATTGAAATTTAATCTTCCTAAAAAATTTTGTTATATAAATAAATAATTTTTGAGTATGTATAAAATTTTCAAAATAATAACGTTCCAATTGGTGTGTATTTTTGCAACGAATGTTTTTTTTTTAATTATTCCTTTTATTCATAACCAAATCTTATAAAAAATACAATGAAAATGAAAAATACATTTAAAATGAAAGGACCTTCATTAATTGCCTCCTTTCCCTTTCAAGGGGGAAAAGTTGACGATTCAGCACCAAAAGTGCGACTCCAATTGGTTCCCACAGTCGGACTAGGCAAAGAGAAACGCTGCCGCTTGCTTCTGACTCTCGGCGCGTCTGTTTTTACTCAGTTTAATTATCCACGAGGGCAGAACAATGGCCGATGGTGACGGTGCGCATTTTAAATATACCCGGTATTGGGGCTAAAAAATAACACACACACACTGTATCATTATTGTAGCAAGAAATAGTAATTAACTCACGTTTAGGCCAGAAAAAATAAACACACCTCGGCGCTCGGCGCAGAGAGCACCTTTGTGCTTAAAAATAACACGCTGCTGAATTTCCAGCTCCTCGGCTCGAATGCGCTTTTTTCGCCCCGGCTCTGATTATTATTGTTTGGGACCCTTTGATGCATCGGGCTAAGTGCTGATGTTCCTCGAATCGTGCAATTTCAGCTTAAGAATGTACATAGTGCAAAAAAAGTGTAAAACAATGTAAGCGAATTGTAAAAGTCAATTTTAAAGACCAAGCTAAAATCTATATTGAAACTGGAATTCTTGGAAGTGAAACACACAAAAGCAGATAATCTTTTTAATTCACCATTTGCGAAATCAAATAACATTGGTTCTTATGACAGCTTCATCTTAAAATGATTGAATCTTTTCAATCCTAAGAGTACAAAATGAAAAATAAAAAATATTGGCGTTGGAAAAATCAAAATTGGTTCAGCGTGGGGCTGTAGTCAGGCGATCAAAGATTTGTAAAGTAGGCAACCGAAGCCAATTTTTTGAGTTTTTACAAATCTTTGATCGCCTGACTACAGCCCCACGCTGAACCAATTTTGATTTTTCCAACGCCAATATTTTTTATTTTTCATTTTGTACAACATGTCTTAGGATTGAAAAGATTCAATCATTCTAAGATAAGGCTGCCATAAGAACCAATGGTATTCGATTTCGCAAATGGTGAATTTATTTTGGTATGCTTTTTTTAAAAAAAAATCTTAATTGCTCTGCGTTTATTTGGAAATTATTTCTATGGACAAAATTTTATATTATCTTATTTTATTTAGTCCACAAAATTAAAATAAATTTCATACTTTTATTAAATATTTTAACTTCAAGAATTTTGGAGAGAGAAAACACAAATCTCAATTTTGAGATGTTTTCAAATTAATTGATTCCCTTTGAAAAAAAATGAAAATTGTGAACAATATTTTCAATGGCCATCGTTTTGAAAACCTTGATAATGAGAGCCATAAAAATGTTAATCCATGCTTGTTTGAAAAAATAATTTATGGTAAATCTCCATATAGACCTCGCAAGAAAACATCTGTTTATACAAAATCGGCGCTGTTGATTGCTGCTGGCCGCACCCGCCCTGTGTGTATGAATTAATTCAAATGTAAAGTGGGCAATGCCGAGTAAAAATAATTGTTGAGATCGAAATCTCTGTGTCGATCCCCCGAAAAATCAAACATCCCGATCGAGAGAGGCGGCGAACGGCGGCCTCCTGTAATTAGATCGACCTTCAAGTGAGCCGAGACTGTCTGTGTCCACATTGTGATGCTGATGTGTAATTACTCATTAATATGTAATACACTATTAAATATTCGGGCCCCGCCGCTAATTATGCCTCAACGAGAGAGACGCGGAATTATCGATAATTGGGCCCAATTATAATTTTATGTATCTCATCTGGCTGCTGCTGCTGCGCCGTTTTAATATTAAATAATGCGCGAGGCGCGATTATTAAATTATAATTTTCCCCCGACTTTGCTCGAAAATAATATAATCCGGGCAGGGAATGCCCTTTGGGGCTCAGCCGTGGAGTATTGTGCCTTTTTTGTGCCACTTCCCTCCACCTTTGATCGCTTTTATCGGTTTTTATCCTCGTGCTGGAAATTCCTCGAACTTTGTAAAAATTTTCTCCATAAATGATTCATTTTCTTTTCCAAGGTATTTAAATCAAAGCCTTTATATTTATTGAGAAATGATTTTCCTAGGAATGCTAAGAATTATAATAGTTGTGTTAAAATAAAGATTGGAAATTTAACTGTCCTCCAAAATTTCTTTTCTTTACAATTTTCTATAATATTAATCAATTTTCTCACGAGCAAGTTGACCACCACTTGAAACCTTGGCGTTCGCACACTTTACCGGTCTTTTTTCTCTCCATCTCCTGTAATTCTTGATTATCATCTCTGTGTAATAACAACAAAACGCTGCTTCATTGGATTTAATTAATGGGAAAGGCAACATTTGTACGTGCATGTGTTGATTCTCCGCGCGTTTAGCAGCTTCGGAATCGATCATAATAAAAATTACCACGCATTCAGTCTTGGGGGCCCTTGTGTCAGGTGTGCGCGGCCTCTCCACAAGTACTCGACAATGATTTTAAGAGTGCAATCAATTTGATATATAAAATAATTTTCTTCTTTCAGTGGTACATTTGCAACCTGGAGATGATACAAGACGAAAAACTGAGACAGGCGTTTGTGCAGCTCGAGATGGACAAGGAGACGGAATTGTTTTTGGAGAGCAGTTCGGACAAGTCGGAACGAATCCTATTGCAAATGTGGCACACCTTGGTCAGCTCTCTTCTCAAATGGTTCCTTACCAGAACTTCCATTAATGGGTACGTTTAAAATTTATAACTTTCAATTAATTAAGTATCAATTGAATGTTATTAAATTATTGTACAATTTAAAAGGTGAAAAAGGAATTTTTGGAGCCAAATTCTAATTTCGGATAATCATTAAATTGAAATTTGATTTTACAAGTATGATTTTCTGTGAATTGAAGATAACCGCCATAATTATATAATAAAATTGTTAAAATTTATAAAATGCGTTAATTTTCAAGCAATAGCAAAAATTTTAAGATATTTTATGATTTTATATATTTATTAAGAAGGATGAAATGACAAAAGCTAAGTGGATTTATTTAAAAAAAAAAAGGTCAATCAGGAAATAATTTGTGCATCCTGGGAGCAAGTTTTGGTGAGAAAGTGAGGAAGAATCGCGTCGGCTCTCCTGAGAGTCCGAGCGCGCGCGCGGCCGTATCATTAATCACAGGTGTTTTTATGTAAATTGCATTCCGCTGGCCGAATTTGATTAACAAGCTGTTGTGTCATGACGAGCATAGAGAATCATTAATAATTTGGAATAATCACGCATCACGGCGTTCGAGTGCATTGTTGTTGCACAGCGAATAACGAGCAGCAGTGACTCTTCCAAAACTCTCTTCTTATCTCTCACTAGCTGCGCGACCAGAGCGAGAGGTTTCCAATCAATTATACACACAGAAATAAATATAATCGAACAACACAAACGGTCTGGAATGAGCAACCGCGTACTTTGTTAATTAACGCGAGAACTTCTTTTAATTAAAGAATGTGATGAATTCGCGGTCAGCTTTACTCAAACCACTAAAAATGCAACAGTAAAGAGTTTCCTTACAAATTAGACACCGTATTTATTCTTAGTTTTCGTAAATTACTCCTTAATTTATCAATTTTAATCTTTAAAATAATTTAAAATTCATTCAGAAAAGAAATAGATGTTAAAAAATAATATAAAGCAATTCGATATTATTTAAAACTCCATTCTTGCTTCTTTTCATTTGTTTTGTTTTCTTCTCGTATATTATCAATCATTTAATTATTATTTGTAGTTTTTCCAAATTTTGATGTAAATAAATATGTGAAAAACTAAAATTGATGAGAATGAAATGAGTTTTTTGATTTTTTGTCAATATTAACATAAGAAATTTTAAATTTTTATAAATGTTATGAATTTGGATATTTTTTTCTTATAATTTTTATTCGAGTATCTTTTTCTCGGCCAATCGATTCAAAAACATTAGAACTCGAAGGCAGTGCGATGCGGGAAGAGTCGCTGTTTTGATCCGTGATTTATTTTCCCACACCATTCGCGCTGCCCGTCACCGCGTGCATTGTGCTCCCCATTGTGCCAGCGGAATTTGCAAAAGAACAAAAAACGCGAGGTGCTGGCCGCGCGAAGCAAGAAAAGAAACCCATACTCTCGCACTCGCACACCGAATTTTTGGTGTAATGAATCGAGAATCCGAAGCACCACAAAAGAAAGAAGAGATTCGAAATTATGGCCGAAAGAAGAGAGACTGTTACTCGGCTGATTCGTTTCTTCTCGCCAGGTATTGTGCGCAAAGTTCATTTTCTCAGGTCGTGATTTGCCAAAGTTTTTAAATTGAGATTGGTGCTAACGGGGACCTTATTCAAACTAATCATCCACGTATTGAATGCTCCCGGAGTGATTTATTGACGGAATTGCGCACATTTTTACCTCGTTATACTTTTTTCGCAGTTTTTTCCATCTTCCCAGCCTCTCCGGTTCAGTTATTTGCGGCTTATCCGCTTTATCTGTGGCGCGTTTGGTGACAAACAGAGAAGGTCCTTTGTGGAGAGGCGCGAAAAGCGGCCGGTAAATTTTATTCCAACGTATAATGAATGACTCCCCCTTGTTGTTTAGCCCAAGATAATAAAAAAGCCCCTCGAAATAAAATTAAGGAGTGCCGCTAATAAGCGCAGATAAAAATTGATGTGAAAATTAAACAATCACCCGCAGCATTTGGGATGAAGCATGGATTTCGGCCGAAAGAAAAATGAGACTGAGGAAACCCTTGTTTGCCGAGCTTTTGTACAATGTATAAATACAATTATGAGTCATTCTCCTTCCTGCGCCCACGATTCTTTTTGAGTAAATAAAATGTCTAATGGAAGGTTGTTATTGGTTATAAATCTTTTCATAGTTACTGTCACTTTTCACTATGATTTTAAAATCGAAGAATTATTTATTTGTAAACTTGAGCTGAATTAATTTAAATAATAAAAATATTTAAATAGACACCGCTAAAATTTATATTTAAAAAAAATGTACTTAACTAATATGTATTGCAAATTTCAAATTTATCTAATTAATTAATTCATTTTTTCCAGATTGCTCTCTCGTGGCTCGATGTTTGTTTTTTCCGAGAGCCACTTTCGTCGGCTGCTTCCCCGCGTGCCGGGCGGCTGTCTGCTCGACCTGGGCGCAGGAGACGGTCTGATCACCAACGTGATGGCCCCAACCTTCAGCCAGGTGTTCGCCACCGAGGTGTCGCCCACCATGCGCTACACTCTTGCACAAAGAGGCTACAAGTAATCTAAACCTTATATTGTTTGAAACACACCTGTGCTTTTCAAAAACCTATGAATTAATTTATTCTCAACATTCCAACTAAATAAATTCATGAATTTCACTTATTCCTTATTTTTTTTTACTGAAATTATTAATTTTATTTACCCCAATTTCCTCTTCTGTAAAAATTAAGAACCTTAAAATCATTACTCATTTATTACTTACTTTGAAGGGTGCTCGAAATTGAAAACTGGTCATCTAGAGGACCTTTTGACGTGATCAGCTGCCTGAACTTACTTGATCGATGCAGCAAACCCTGGTCACTGCTGACTGAAATTCGCAACAGCCTTGTGCCTGATACGGGAAGACTGATTGTTGCACTAGTCCTTCCATTCCAACCATATGTAGAGGCAGGCAAGTATTTTTTTTTTTTAATTTTCTTCATTCAAATTATTCTTTTGCAGATTCTTGGGATCACTCTCCAGAGGAAAACCTGAACATTAAGGGAGAAACCTTTGAGGACCAAATAAACTCGACCGCCCAAGTACTGCAGTCCGCAGGATTCGAAATCGAGCGCTGGACCCGACTGCCGTACCTGTGCGAAGGAGACTTGGGTCAGTCCTACTATTGGCTGGACGATGTTGTCTTTGTCCTGAAACCAGTCTGACCCCCGCAGTGCTGCTACTTTGACGTATGAATACGTGATAACACAATATATTGTAAGCTCTACTAATTCCAGTCAAACGGATTTATATCATATCTTCCAGTTAAATTTAAAAATTAAATTTTTCTGCCTTTGGAATTTTCCAAAATATCGTGTTTCTCAAAGCTTTTGCTGAAATGTTGGAGTAGAGATAGTTATTGAAACTGCCATTGTTACTTGACCAATACTGACTCTCTATCACAAATTTTCTTCGTTCGTTGTTGTGATATACATATAATATTATTACGAGTGATGGGTGTCAATGTTAAAACTCCACACTTGTAGCATTTTGAACTCACAAAAGGTTTATTCAAACAATTGGTTGTGTACATACAAGATAACTTTAACAGTCTTGAAAATAATTCCGAATATCCTTAACCAAAATCTATAAAGTTTTGATTAAAACCATTTGTTATTGCGAGCTTTTCAAATAAAAATGGAAAAAAGGGAAATTAAGACTTGTACATTTTAGCTCCATTATACTGTTTTTTCATTTCTTGTACTGCAGCTGTTGAACTTTGTTATGTGTAGTGTGTAGTTGAAAACAAAAAAATGAATTTTCACAAAATAGGAAGTGTTAAATAAGCTGCCTGCAGCAGTTTAACAAGGGCATAATAATTCTAGAGGTAAGAGTTTAGTTTTAATTAGATGCCTTACTCTAGCTAAAATTTTTTGCTTTGAAGACTTTTAAATACCTGATTTAATTATGCCTGCTAAGTCAGAGTTCTAATGTGATAGTAAAATCGTCATCATTATGCCAATATCCTTTTCCATTTGTAGAAAACAGTCCATCTTCAAAGCATGCTTGATATCGCAGTCAAACTTTTCCTTTTGGCTTCTTGTCTACTTTCTTTTCATAATGCTAAATCTCTTTTCATATTGAACTCTAATCAACAAGAGAGAATAAAAAATTTCAATTATAAACATCAACACACTAGAAATTGATCACACTGAATTTGAATCACGAGAAAATTGGGGTTGGAGAAAACAAGTTGTTTTAAATGGTGGCAGTTCCTCTCTTTTTGTAAATTGAGCAAATTTTATCACCAAAATGCCATTTTTGGGTTAAATAAAAATTATAAAAGGGAATTTTCAAGTCAATACTGCTTAGAATGGAGCAGCTTTTTGATCGTTTTTTTTTTGTGCCTGTAGAGAGCTCGGTGACGTTTCCCCCAACCCTGACAAGAAAAATGACAAGAATCAGATTCTCGGCTGTAAATGCTAAATTTGAAGCCATCGATAATTATGATCCTTCTCACATTGAATTCACAGCAAAAATTACCAAAACCTTAGTAGCTAGTAATGCGTTAATTATTATTATGAATTGTTTTCATTCCTGTTAGCCAGCGGTAGTTTCTTTTCCTTTCCTCTTCTTCATGAGCAGAACTAGACTGGTAGTATCACAGCTCTCTCTCTCTCTCTTACTCGTACTTGCCCTTTGGTCGCACCAGGTGTTGCAGGTTTTCGGCCATCATGGGTGGGACCTGCATTGGGGTCATTCCTGGGTCAGAAGGGCCCCCTGTGGAGTTCTGTTTGCTCAGCACTCTCAAGCTACTTTTGGAGCCGGGCCTGCAATTTAGAATCTTTTAATTGTCAATTAAAATAGAAAAAATAGTGTTCAAATTTTTCATTTAAGGAAATTGAAATAAGATTTGATTTTTTTAAAGTGGTCTAAAGGAATTCAGTTCACCTATGCTTGTGCTCCTCCTCTTTCCAACTTGTTACTGTGATGTGCGGCGGGGGTAAGAACGACCTCAAGCTTTGGACTAGCTGGATTGTGTCAACCAGAGCTAAATTCAGTAAGTTAAATATTTTCTATTGAATTTATTTATTGCATAGAAATTTACTTTTTTGCAGAGACTCGGATTGTTTCCCGTACGGCTTGCACATGGACGGTCGAACACAAGTCTTCATCCTAGCCATGTTTTTCATTAGCTCGGAAAACGTTCTCACTATCTTTTCCTGCCCTGGCATTTCAAATTCTGTCAAAGTTAAAAGCGTCCAATTACTCAGATTTTCTTATATTTACTACCTTCAATCGGCATCGAAGTCCTCTTTTCGTTTCCATCCAGCAGCGGCCAGAGTCCATTGTGCAAAGATAAAAAGTCCTGCAGTTAAAAATTTCAAAAAATGTCCAATTTTAAATTCGAATTAATTACTTTAGCTTCAGTTAAGCCCTCTATGCTGTCCAAATTTGCCCTCAAGAGATCGGTCAGTCGCTCGGACTGCTCTGCCATTTGATTGTTCACAGATTGTTGATTGTTGTTCTGGTTCAGGTCTGCTACCACCTGCGTTGGGTACTGCACCTCTGCGTTGTAATCATGAGTGGCTGCGGTTAAAAAAAAAATGTATAATATTTTTTCAATTTAAAAATAATTATTACAAAACCTTTTGCTTTAGTGACTAGAAACTGCTTGTTGGGCTGCTGGAAGTGCTGCTTGTTGATTTCCATCTGCATCTTTTGGGCGTACTGCTCCATCGGCTGCTGACCCGCCGTCTTCATCTGCTCCAACTGCTTCCGATTCATATTGTCCATTTTGTAAAAGCGACAGGCAGGGTTGGGACAGTTTTGCACCACGTCGATTATGAACTCTTTGTCCATGCCAAAGTGTTCTCTGCCTACAGTGTAAGACTCCATGACCTGCAAAGGTATTTTTTATAATACAATTTTTTCATATTTTAAAATTTAAAAAATCTTTATACTGCTCGGATTGTGGCATCAATGCCAAGGTGCATGCCTTGAGGACCATTCATGTGCTTCAGCATGACTGCATTGGCATAATGTTCGAAGGGCAGAATTATTTTAAAATTGTCTCGCAACACAAGTCGAGCTTGACTGTCTAGGGTTATCCGACTGGTTAGCATTCTAAAAATAAATAAGTAGTATTTTTAGCAAAAATATTGCAATTAAAAAAAAAATGAATATTTTATATTCTTAAAAAATAAATTCTCACTGTAAATACGCAGCGCTGGGAACCAAAGAAGCGTCCTTGAGGTCGCTGAGGCACTGCAGAAGGTCGACGGCAGGGTTCCATGATTTGTTGTTCTGCAGGTAGAGTTGCAGAAGGCAGTACAGTTTTTCAGAGATGTATCCGGCCCCGTGGAATTGCTGCATATTCTGCAGCTCCTGCAGCATGCTCTTCACCATCACGCCCAGGTTTTTCATGCTCTTGTTGGAATCGCATTCGGCTGAGTTGTCCATTTTTATAGTGGCGTCAAAACCTTCGTCTTCAAACTATCTTGAAGAAAAAGTAATTATGTAAGAAAATGAGAGAAATGCAACCTGCATGATGCAGATGTTGAGCAAGTTGCCTACTTGCTTTTTTATTTTAAATTTTTACTAATTTTTTTTTTTTTAGATTTGAGATGTATTTTAAAAGTTCCAATTGAATTTAACTCAATAAAGGAGATTTATTGAAAATCTTAATGATAATTATTTTAAACCAAATTTTAAATATATTCACAAAGGAAAGAATAAAATGTTTTTTGTTCATAAAAGAAAATACTGTAGTCGGGCTGGAACCTGGAACGAATATGGAATTGTTGAACCAAGCTGAATTTGTACCAAAAATCAATTCCGGGCAAACGCCGGCAAATTTTGCAACTCAGCTCCTGCTCTTCTCTCGCCTCCGCATCGTTCCAAATTGAATACCTTTGCGCTCCTCTCTCGTGTGACTAATCCGCCATCAGGACCAGCATGGCAGGTTTATGTGTAGCTCAGGCCCTGCGGTCCCCACTCCCTGGGCCCGACGAACAAGGGCGGCTGCCAAATGTCAATAAATTTGGCTGGAGGACGAGAGATGCTGGCTGATTTTGACTTTCAGATGTTTTCTGTCTCGCACCGGCCCACTCGGTGCTCTGACGAGGGCGCACGCGCTCCATTTTGCACAAAACTGGCTGGTGCTCGCATGTGCCATATTCTTGGTGCCCATGAAACACGCCCTTTTGAAAACGGATACGGCTGCCTGGATAATTAAATAAATAAAATCAAAATTGTATTTCTTTTTAAAAATTGATTACATCTAGAAAAAAATTTTACTTTATAATTTTACATTTTTAATAGCATAATCAATTATCAATTTATTTTAATTTATTAAATTTTCTGTTGTAAAAGACAAGTTGATTAATTATATTGAATATTTATGGAATATGTGGAATTTGTTTTCCATATTTTCATTTTTAATCCCGACAACCCCGTATTAGGGATTAGGGCCACGTGCCAAACGCGATCAATAGGTTCCTCGTTCTCAGCAATTTTCGCGCCGTTTGCAGTCAAAAATCTCCGGTGTACGCTCGTGATTGGTCAGAATTGCATCGCAGAGTCACTTGATTGGTGACGTCACGTCACATGCTCCGACCCTGCCCACTTGCAGAAACCAACAATGGCCGCCCACGGGCAGATTTTCACCTCTTTACTCGTCATATTTTTGGGCACTTCTTTGATTCAGGCTGAAATCAGCCCGAATTTTGATGTGTCAAACGTCGAGGAGAGTGTTCCGGTGCTGCTGTGGCAGTCGCCGTCTCTCAAGGGCCAGGAAACGACTGTAAAAGAGTCCCCGAAAAAAGCGGCGGCCGGGCTCGAGAAGGTGGACGACGAGCTTTTTTCCACCTTGCTGAAGGTAAAAAATAATTTTACTGGACGTAAATAAAATTCTTCTTAAATTCAGCAAAAACTAAACATTCGTTAAATTTACAATCTTTCCTCGAATTCTTACTGATTTCTTAATTATTTTGTAATAAATATAAAAATAATTATCCAAACATCTGTTTGAAATTTAATTAATATTGTGTCAAATTTGCAGGAAATAATCACTGCCAAAGCCGGAAAGCCTCTGATTCTGCTGTTCCTCGAAGAGAATCTCAGCTCTGAAGACTTCCTCACAGACGAAGAGAAAGTTTTCCCTCATTTGCAGAAAATAATCAACAAGTCGAAGGACACCGTATATCTGCCATCTGTTGTCTCTCCAACCACAGCTTTGAAGGAACTGGACCAGAATGGATACACCTGGTTGCCTTACAACTCGGATGAACTGCCAGAGAGCGAGTCCATCATCCTGGTCATCAACCTGGACGACGCCCAGGAAGGCGAAAGCAGGCCTGAAATGCTCTCGAGACACGACCAGAAGATCAACACCATTTACAATAGTGCCCTGAAGGTGCTTTCCACGTCATTTAATTATGAAATTATAATAACTAAATTAATTTTAGGTGTTCAACAACGTTCTTGGAATTTACACTTCCCGCTATTCATCTTGGAATTCAGCCGAGGTTGCTCTTCATCGTGTTCGTCGACAGGCCGTGGTTCCCATTAAAGTCGGCAACGGCACAATTTTTACGGACAAAGACAAGAAGGTTGTTTTGCACATGAACAGCGCCCCAATCTTAATTATGAACAACAACAAGCCTATGCCACTCTCCGACGCCACCACAATTACGGTTGATGAAAAGGAAGACTTGCAAACTCTCAGCATTGTTTTCTCCACTCCGAGCAAAGTAATTGATTAAATTATTTTTTGATGAAAGAATTAATAAAATCAAATTCCAGGTAACTCTACGGTTACGCTTTCCAGAACTTTACAGAGGCTACTGGAATTTGGGTGAGGTGGAAGTAGAAAATGGAGCCACCCCCGTTGTCCTCTCACTGAAAAATAACATCACGGTTCCTAGGAATTTCTCTTACCACTGCAGCGCTTTCAATACGACATTCCGAGATGCAAATAATTCACTTATTTTCACTGATTTTCAGGTTAGCTTTAAATTTCTACACTTAATCAAAGCTAATATTTTTTCCAAATTAGAAAATATCAAAATTAATAATGAATTTTTAATCAACAGGTGGAGCCGTACAATTACCGAGTTGGCTTCAGTGACCCCTACGACTGCAGCTACTTCTTCACAATCCCCATTTTGTCTGGCCTGTTCTGCACAGGCTTCTTAGCGATTATCATGGCCTGGGGCCTGTCCATGATTCTGGACATAAAGACCAACGACAGGTATGATGATCCCAAGGGCAAGACCATCACCGTCACGGCCACCGATTAAATTCTAAAGTCGAGCTTCCAGATTAAATTTCAGCAGTCAATTGTATATACTTATCACCACAGATGTTGTTAAAGATCATGTAAATGAATGTGTAATCATGTACTGGAGTTGGTAATCCTCACTAACAATCTGTTACGAGATGTTGCTTTATAGACAGGAATCGTGAAAAACTGAAACGCACAAAATGTTCATGTTATGAAGAGCGGATTCTTGTCTTGAAAGGAGTATTATTAGAGAAATTGGGCAACTAGGAATCAGAATCTCCAATATGGGTCTTGAGCGAATTTGTATAATTGTCGATACTTCCCGTTGTAACATATCAAAGGATCTAAACCACAACTTCGATAATAATCATGTAAAGTGTTGAAATTTTTTAGTATTATTATAATGTTGAACGTGCTTATTCATAGGAGGTGAATGTATACTGTGGCGTTTTATTCCATTTATTTTGTGATATTTATGTGCATTCTGCCGAAATCTCATTTTTGAACAACAAAGTAATGGTGCATCAATCTAACAGATGATCTGTGTATAGGAAATTCCATATTATTTTTTTGATTGTAATTCAATATAATAATTGCTGTCAATTACTGATATTAATCATGAAGATCAATGGTAGCTCAATGTACTAGCCATGGAAAAATACGAACTAATATTTATGATTGAAACATGGGTGTACGTTCTTGTGTAACCAATCATTGTGTATAGAAGATGATTAATGTTGGAAAAAGTAACAAATAAAGCACAAATTGTTAGAACAGGACTTGACAAATTTTTATTTGGCAATAACTTTAAATCACATTTTATCAAAAATAATATAAAAAATCAAATAGGGATGCAGAAATTGTCAACAAGGTATTAAAATCAAGTTCATTAAAACAATGATACCAAATTAATATAAAACAAGAGGGAGCAATTATCATTTAATGACATTAGGGTGCGTCGAATGCTCTTGAATGCGGGTGACACTAAAATCTAATATGGGGGATAAAATGCATATAGCAATAAAATACAGCTCATTATTTTGCTTCGTTTCCTGCACCTTTTTGTAATCTCAATTGTCTTGTCTGAACTAATAATAAGGATAAAATAAATTCGACGTGGAGAATAGATCATCAGTCAATATCAAAACGCTAAAGAATCATTCAAAATCGCTTAAAAGTTCCTCCATTTCTTTTTGTCATAATGCGATCAGCTAAAATATTTAAGTCAGTCACTTGAAGCACATTTAGTTATAAAAGAAGTGCCTATCGAGTGACTTGTTATGTTTCTAAGTAATCAAGGAGCAAAAGATTCTGTGTGTTTATGCAGATTACAATAGGATAAGAATAGGATGTGAGTGCACAAGGAAAGGTATTCTCTACTGAGTATTTTGACAAGCAGGCACTTGAGCCCCATGCAGAACCCAAAATCCTATCGAGTGCTCCGGCATCGAGATCGGAGAGTTTAGGTCCATTGGCTGGGCGGTCAGCGGAGGAATGCGGTAGTTCGGCCCAATATCCAGCTTCTCACCATTTAACAAAACATATCTAAACAATGAAAACAAAATTATGAAGAAATTGAAAGTTGCTATAAATATTACTGAGATTGAAGGCCGCTTTCTCCTTGCAAGATATATCTGTCCACGCTGCTGACGTTGTGGGTGCCCTGGAGGGACAATTCGATGGCATCTGGGAGCAAATTGACTCCAAAGATGGTGACTGCGCCTAAGCCAGGGTGAAGGGCGGATGGCTCTGTGCAGTGACAGTAAATCCTCACTGGGCCTTTGAAGTCGTTGAGTAGGGTGACGCCAACAACTCCTGTTCCAACCAATTTTTTATGCAAAATGGAGACCCAGAAGTCCTGATACGAAATTAATTAAAAATAATGCCATATATCACAAAGTTGATTACTTACTGGATTTGGGATCAGAGCACCTTTGTGATCACCTTTGTGTTCGGTTCGAAGAAGTCCGTAATGTCCTCCATACAGACTCTGCCGAACAACCACATGTATGCCCTCACTGGCGGCCACTCCGAGTTTGTCCAGCCACAGGAAACTAGCCACGAACCTGTCAGATAACTCGGGTGCACCTCCACCAAAAGCTGAACCGGTTTCACCTTAAATTTTTACATAAAAGTTAGCCATTTAAATTTTCAATGACCAAAAAAAGCCTTCTTACCTAACCAAATTGGTGTGCCAAGTGCCATGCTCCGCACGGCATTGTTTACCAGGATGATTTGCTCGTAAAGTGTGTTGTACGTTTCTACATTAAGGAAATCCTGTAGGGTAGCTTCTCTCCCATTTAAGTTATACCTTGATTAGAAAAAGAAATTAGGTCAAAAGATCATTATTTTTTTAATTGATTTGTCTTACTGGTGCCAAGTGACAGCGTTAAGTCTCGGACCGGCAGTTCGAAGGAATTCCCTCAGGTAATCCAAGTCGGCCAATTTTGGTGGTCTCGGTCTCGTGATATCCGGGCCAACCAAAAGTGACTTTGCATATTTAGGGTAAGAGTTCAGCAAGTTCCGAAGATTTACATAATCATCTCCTAGCTGGGTCGCTTCAACCACTTCATCAAACTGGTGACGATAGGCATTGGGCTCTGCAAAAACTCTGGTTTAACATTCCAATTCAAAATATATTTGGTTTTCATTCAAACCATTGCCCAGCTGCCAGTTGAGTTTGAGATTCAGACCGTTTGCATATGCGAGCAACTCTTTTGCATTTGTGTCGTCCCAGACCTTTCCGTTTCTCAGAAGAGCGTTCAGATCAAAGATCATGTCCATGCCGGTTGTTTTGGCAAAGGTGTTAATCTCAAGAAATGCTTCACCTTTTGAATTAACCATATTAAAATCAAGTTGGATTGAATTATTGGATAAAAATACCAGACATGTTAAAGTAAGCATGGTTTTTGGTGCAAAGCTCGGCCTCGTAAGCGCACGGACCCCCGTCGATAGGTAGGGCTGGAGCATCGTCATTTTGCCCATTTTTCGGATGGTTTTCAACAAAGATCAGTCTGTCGGCAGCAGTGCCTCCAACGCGCAGATAACATGGTGACAGGGATGAGCCCAGCATTCGAGCCGCTTTTGATCTGAGAATTCTTATGTAAAATATTGATTTTTACAAAAATACTGCAAATACTTCATGTCAAATTTTTTAAAGTTTTTCCGAATCAGTGACGAGTCAAGAGCTACGCTGAGAAATCTCTCGTTGACCACGTTCACTAATCGATCTGTTTGGATGATGACGATTCGTTTGTGGTCATCCTTCGAGTATTGGGACAAAGCTGGCCAGAGACCTCCGAACACCAGCATCACCACATTCAAGCAGCAAAACGTTACTATGCAGTAACGGGCCCCCGTTTTCCAACAGGTTGACGGTTCTGAAAATTTGAAATTTTAGTAAACTGCTAATTTTTTTCAAAAAATCAATTAACCCTTGGGCACTGTGGTGACGTTGGTTTGGCGCATTTCGACGGGCGTGGTGCCCTCGACCAGCATACTCGCGTCTTCGGAATGTCCATCTTCGTTGTTCATTTGCGAACCGAGAATTAACGTTGATGAAGTCACTTCAATGTCAATGTCCACGTTGGACAGCACTTCTTCACTCGGAGCCTCTTCTAAAACCGCCGTCGACGACATTTTCGCCTGAAAAACAACCTGTCAAATATGTATTTTGCGACATTGAATCTGAAGTCGAAGAAGAAAGTTTCTTGGACGCTCCTTTTGCTTGATTTGTGTTTTGATTTATTAAATTTAAGATTTACTTACGCATTTGAAAATTGCTTAGCACGGATACTCTCTGAATTGTCGCTTTTTCGGGCGAAATTACTACATTTTGGCAAAATCTATAACCTCCGCCTGCTGCAGGTGCAGATGTTTTGCTTTAGCAGTTTAGCTTAGCTAAATCCTAAATCAGTTGTACCAACGACGCTGCCCCTTCCTAAAAAAATAGCATTGTCGGCAACTGAAGAAACAACTCTGATAATAACAATCAGAGAATTTGTATTATTAAGGACTCCTTATTGACGTAGTCAAATCAAGTCTTTACAACAATGATTGTTAAATTTTCCAATTATTGATAAAATATTTCCTATTGTTGAAAATACTTGATTTGACTATGTCAATAAGGAGGCCTTAAAGTTTTTAAAAAATTGGGTTTCTCATTTTTTTCTGATTATTTTATACATATTTTTTTTTTTATAAAATTTATAAACAAAATTTGAAGAAATTATTTAAAATTTTCAGTTTTAATAAATCTTCTTTTTAATTCACCATTTGCAAAATCGAATACCATTGGTTCTTATGGCAGCCTTATCTTAGAATGATTGATACTTTTCAATCCTAAGACATGTTGTACAAAATGAAAAATAAAAAATATTGGCGTTGGAAAAATCAAAATTGGTTCAGCGTGGGGCTGTAGTCAGGCGATCAAAGATTTGTAAAAACTCAAAAAATTGGCTTCGGTTGCCTACTTTACAAATCTTTGATCGCCTGACTACAGCCCCACGCTGAACCAATTTTGATTTTTCCAACGCCAATATTTTTTATTTTGCATTTTGTACAACATGTCTTAGGATTGAAAAGATTCAATCATTCTAAGATGAAGCTGTCATAAGAACCAATGTTATTTGATTTCGCAAATGGTGAATTTTGTATTATTTTAGTTAGAACAAGTTAAATTTTATAACACTATGCGTACAATCACAAAACTTCTTTGTCTCAACGTTACAACAACCATCTTCAGGTTTTCACCTTACATCACCTTCCTTTCGTTCTTTCCTTTCCTGCTGCCTGCCGGTACCATGCGGCAGTTCGGCAAACTAAAAAAAGGCTCGCCCTTGGAGTGGGGAGTGCATTCGGGAGTCGCATTGTGTTTGCCGGCAAAAGCAGTCTTACTCGAATTACGCGAGTGCTACGGCGTGTTTTCTTCTGTGTCTCTGTTTCTGCAGGTCGCAGGCCGCTTCCTAGAAGGTGATTCTCGTACCTGAGCGGCTCGTTCGAAGGGTGAGTATCTTATCCAGTCGTTGTTAAATTTTCCCAAGTGAAAAACGGCCCTTATAAGGGTAATTTTGGATTATCTGCTGGTGGAGGCGGGGATTCACCGGCGAGGCAGGTGGTTTTTATTATGACAACAAGAATGATGGGGGTGGGTTTATGACTAAGGGTGGATTTTCCACTTTTCACCGAGATTAGAACGGCAGATTTATTTAAAAAAAAAACTTATTTACTTTTCTTGGATATTATTCAGTTTCCAACGTTTCGTGAAAATTATAAAAAAAAAGATTTGATAGAGTTTTTATGGCTGTTATAATTTTATAAAATCCATATTTAAATATGCCATTAAATTTATGCATTGCAAAATATAAAAATTGTGTGATTTATCATTTTTGTACTATAAATTAAATAAATCAATTATTTTTTAAATTCAATATATGAATAAATATTATTGCACTAAAAATTGCATTCTGAAACAACCTACAGACAACCTTCTAAGGAAGTCACCCTTATCCAGTGCTGCCAACTGCTGGGCAATTCACAAATACACCCTTGATTTTAAGTTCTTCTGCCTCTTTTTAATCTATTATACTGATTCTTCTGCTGAATTTAAGAACTATAGCAATAATAAATCTATTATTTCATCATTTCCATAAAAAATAATAAATAATCATTAGTGATTGTTTTGCATGAAAAGCACACGTTTTAAATTAAAATGAAAGCATGACTTGTTTTCTGCATGCTGCTGTGTTTACATCATTACCTAAGCGGATTGTATATTGACCCGGCCCATTATTCAAATGAGATAATTCTGTATTTTCAATCGAGCGAATTCAAAATCGTGCGCTTTGTTTTCCGATTCGTTAAAATAAATAAATAAAACACCATCCTATAATGTGCGCGGCGTTGCGCAAACACGCAATGAAACAAAATTAATTGAAAATTCAAAGCTCTTTGAAACTGTTGTTTTTCTTTTATTCAAACGCAATACTCTTTTTAAATTAAATATTTTTTTTTTAACTCTAAATAAATCACTTCTGGATATTTTACACTAATTGTAAATACAAAATTTTTGAGTGAAAATTGGTGTAGAGAGAAAATTAAAAAGTGTAAGAGAAATCCGTGAAAATATCTCTCGGCCGCTTGACTCGCTCAGTCAATTTCTCACAAGACCCGATCCGGACAATAAAGCAATCAGCTGGATGTTTACTCTCCGTGCTCACACTTGAATAAGAGTTTGCCCTACATTTTTAAGTGCTAAATTCATTCACACGCGTTTGCTTCAAGGCGAAGGTTTAAGGTCGACAATTTATGATTTCCTGGAGCTTTGACTTGTCTGAATTTTGCCAAATTTATTCATAATTGCAGAAATACGAGAGACATAGAATGTAAATTTATTTAAAATTTGTTTTCTGAACCTATATGAAAGAAACAAGATAATAAAAATATTACACAATAAAATGTTGCAAAAGCTTTGTGCATTTAATTTTTTTTTAATTTAATTTTTTTCTCCAGCTAATAATTATCTTAAAAATTAAAATAAATTTTCTCCTTCCAAGTTTCGTTTAATTTCGAATAAATTGAGATAAACTAAATTTGCTCTATTCACATCACAAATTTATCATCTTTTGTTTCTTTACAATTGTACAGTACAAATTCAGGGTGGCATTTCAAATTAGCGTTGCTGCTTCTGGTATGAAAGATGAGGTCGGATTATATGCTGGCTTCTCTGTTTGAGGATAACAAATTCATCCCTTATTGCGCACGAGACGGCTTGTATTTCGTTTCCATCTGCAACGTCTTTTCTCTCAGGAGACAAATGGGATGCGCACCGGCGTCTTGTAAATTAATGATGTGGGACATGCACGAACAGCGGCGAAATGGGATAACACGAAGACGTATACATTCCTTTGAATTTCATTGCCATGAATTTCTTAAGAAAAGCTGCTCGTCATAATATTGTACAGCAATAAAATTACTAATTCGTATAAATATATTACAATTACATTAAATAATTATACAATTTTACTACAATTTAAAACTGAAAATATAGTTAATTAATTATTGATTGTATATGATTGTCTAATGAAATAATTACAAAAATATTCCATACCTATTAAAGGTTTTTTTCATAATTTTAATAAATTATTTCATTGTTTCTTAAACAGTTGTTCATTTCAGCAAAATCAGATTTTCAGTGAGTAGAATTTGATTACAAATATAAAATTTTTCATGTTTATAAATCGAAGCATAATTTTTCTGCTTATTTATTTAATCAAAACGTTCAATGAAAATTCAGCATTTTTTTCTGAATTCAGGATGTACCAAAGATGTAGAATTTATAACTGATCTCTGTTTTTGAATAATATTGTTAGTGGAAAACAATTGCGTACGCTTTACTGCACGACGCGCCGTTAAGCTGCATTCATAATTAATTTGGGTGGATCCGCTGACCGATCACGCTCGTTGCATCTGACGTCGCTGCTTTTTGTGCGGCCGCCGGCCGTGGTTGAGAGAACACGCTCAACGGCCATGCGAGGGTCAGACCACTGAAAATGAAATTTTACGCCCGCTCCAACTTGCTGACTCGGAAAGTTTGTGAACTTGCCGCGATTTTGTGCAAACAAGAGTCGAGAGCTAAGCGAGGATTGTAAGAAGAGAACTTTTTGCTCATCTTGATGTTTGCAGAGCATTAATAAATTTGACACTCATGAATTTTGCATCAGTCGAATGCGAGATGAGCCAGGAATGCGCACGTGCTCTTTGCGAGATTACCTCGGCGCACAGGGAACCCGATTTTTTCTCTCTGCTTGGAAAATATACACACCCAGTTATTTATAAAAATATGTATTTTATGCGCGCAATGTTTTGAGACGTGCCTCACGAAAAGTAAGCAGCCGAGGATGAATTACCACGGCTGTAGTTATATTTTCAAAGTTTGAGAGAGAGAGAGAGAGACGAGACAGACTCACAAACGTAAGGAGGCTCCTAGAAATTTAGGCAGTAAAGTGGATGAAACTTTTGTTATTCCAAAGTCGTAAAAAGTTTTAATTAAACCTTGGTTGTGACTTTCAAAATATTGAGAATGACTTGAAATCCATATGAACGTTATCATACAAACGTTTTTGGTTTAATTTTAAGCTTAAAAATTTTTCCTATATTTTGTAATTTCATTTTTATTATTTTTAACACAAGTCTGTTGATAAAGAGGTTTAAATAAACTCTAAATAACTGATTTTTACTTTAGTTTTAATGATTCGATTTTATTTTGCTGCTTAAATTGTACATTGAAAAGTTGTACACATTTTGTGTTTAATAAATTTCTATTTATTTAAAGTATTTAAATCTTTTTAAAAGATCAGTAAATTTTAATACATAAGTTGATTAAAATGTTAAATTTTTGAACTTTTTCACCACCTCATTTCAAACACTAAAAAATTATTTCTAATTCTAAACCTACGATTTTATTCTATATTTTTGAAACGGGAAATAAATGCGAGAGTTCAAATCCAATTTGCTCTGTGCACTCTTTCTCTTTTTCCTTTTGTATGCTCTTTTAAAAAAAGAGCAGGAAAGAAACGGGAGCAGCAGCGATTTGCGGCGCGAGCAGGCGATGAACAATTTTTCGCGCCCGCTGGGGCATGATGAATGCTCTTCTTTCCATCCAAATAATCGGGTGGGACGGACGGGTCACGCAGACACAACGGCGTGTTTTAATGAACATGTCAAATCGGCCAGTGCGAAATAAAGCGCCAGTGCAGCTCCACTGGCCTCATTAATCTCATCACGACCAAACATGGCCTTTTAATAACACAAATTAAATTAACTGTTATGAAATTAAAAATTGTTTTCAGAGACTTGTCTGCTTCTAAATAAACGAGATAATAATTATAAAGTTGCTGGGGATATCTTAAATATATTTTTTGGAATATCTAAAAAAAATTTAAACAATTTGAAAAGAAATTCTCTTTCAAAATAGCCAGTAAATCTGAAGTCAATTCATGATTTTACAAAAAAAAAGTCATGCAAATTCATTTAAAATATGAACGATATAAACTAAAAGTCACTTAAAGGTTATCTCAATCAATTCTCGCAAACCTCATTGTTATCAGAAACATTGAAAAAAATTGATTTTTTCACTATTGAATTTTCTCCGTTGCTGCGACAAAATGCTGTGACCAAGGCGACAGTCCAATTTAAATGCAAATTCCGCTCGGAATGGCAGAGCTGCCGCATTGCCCGAGATTAGTTATGACAGCAAATCACAGCGCACTCGGTAAACAATCGACGCAAACAGTCTTAAAAGGTATCCATTCGTCTGTCCGCTTGGCATGGCCCCGAGATGTTGATAGCCAAGGGAGAAAAGATTCGACGGCAAAATGCATTGACAGAGCAAATATTTGCGTTGCTCCTCCACACCGACGACCGAGCAAAAGAAAAGTTCCATCGCATATTCTTGCAGCTTTTTCCACTCTGCTATTTTTCTCCAAATTTTCTTACCTACTTTTCAATAACATTAAAATGTAATCGTGTGTTGTGTTCGTTCAGCTAATTAATAATTAGAAAATTATTGTTGTAATTTCTTTTTAGTGTTGTTTCTTCATCTGGTGCGGACTCGTTTCAAGAACTGGAATTGGCTTTTTTTTCAAATTTAATTTGTAAATGTAAAACAATAACCAGTTATTTTACCTGAATTTTTGTTTGAAATTTTCTTTGAACATAAATTTCACTTTGTCCTCGGTGCATTTGTTACTAACACACAAAAAATCGAGATAAAAATTTTTGCTGGTTCACCGCACCAAAGAATAATTGAATAATTATTAGAAATGAAAATAATTTCAAATGAAAGGAAGTAAATTGCATGAAAATTTATTTGATGCATTAACTGTATTATATATACATAGTGCCTTTTTTAAATTCAGTCAATGAAAAATCCGGAAAAATCAAAGACGCGGGATAACAATAAGCTATTCAAAAGTTTTAAATTCAATCCACCCCAACCGATTTTT